GGCTGAGCCAAGAGAATCGCTTGAGCCCCAAAGTTAGAGGTTGCTGTGAGCTGTGATACCACGGTATTGTAGCAAGGGTGAGAAATTGAGACTCTTGTCTCAAAAAAAAAAAAGAGAGAGAAGAGGGCTGTCTTCAGAGGAGGAGAACTTTTGGAAGATCTTGAGTCCATCATCCTCAGATGAAGACCTTTCCGAGCTGCCTGATGGTGGCACAGACCATTTCCAGGCAGCAATTCTTTCAGCGAGTGTCCCCCAAAGATGCCCCCTTGTCTGGAAATGGTTAACTTGATTTTTACACTAGAAGTAGGTGGAACAACTTGCCTTTAGCTAAGCCACTTGCCAACCTTTAAATTTTGTGATTCTATTAGGAAAAGAAGCCCATCCTAGCCAGGCAAGTGTGAGAGACATACCCTACCCCCAGAGGGTCTGTCTTTTGCAGATTCCCAAATTGGTGTTAATTCCAAATGGAATGGGCAGACCCTCTCACCACAGCAAGGCCCATTCCAGGCGCACCTTACTAAAGAGGAGCTCCCTGATGGTCCAGCACCATAGGTGGCTTTCTCTAGGGGACCATGACAAAGCTGGGTTACAAGGCCCTCCGCTGGTAGCTCTGGCCTCCCAGAGACACCTCCACCCGCACCTCATCACAAGTCAGGCCTTGGAAGCCTTTAGTGCAGCTTCTATGGCCCTCCTCGTACCAAGGTCGACACACTACAAACCCTTAGGAGGCTCATCTAACCAAGTCATCTCCTGGGATCAATAGGCAACCTCCTATCCAGGCCAATTCTTTTTTTTTTTTTCTTTTTAGAGACAGAGTCTCACTTTGTTACCCTAGGTAGAGTGACGTGGTGTCACACCTCACAGCAACCTCCAGCTCTTGGGCTTAGGTGATTCTCTTGCCTGGTGCCCGGCATAACACCCAGCTGTTTCTGTTGCAGTTTGGCCAGGGCTGGGCTCAAACCCGCCACCCTCAGTATATGGGGCCGGTGCCCTACTCACTGGGCCACAGGAGCTGCCCAACCAGTCCAATTTTTAAACCCTAAAGTTATATACCCTTTCTGAAATTAGAGGTCTCACCCATTGTGGTAAAGGTCATAGACTAAAGATCTTACCCATTACAAGTTTAAGATTTTTCTTAGTGTGATTTACATATTAAAAGACCACCTGCCGACCAACTTACCCAAAACAGTAAGACAGACCCACCATATGTAAATTAAATTTGAATCTAGTTTATTTGTAGAAGTTTACTTAACCAATTCTCATTTCTTCCTGTTTCTCACCATCATGGAAAGATTTGTCATTTGTATGAACATGTAAAATGCTGAACAATGAATAAGAAGTGAATATTGCACATTTAATGACCAAAATTAAAGGTCACACTAGACATGTGGGAAGGAAAAGAGTGTAATACACGTAAGAAGTATTTATCTCCACAAAAGTGATTTTAAACCACGGACAGAAAAATAAATTATCTTGGTGTTCAGTGGGAGGCATTACATCTGTACATTAAAAAATGAAAGTTATAATCAACATTTCTTCGCCATTTCATTATCCTAAAATAGGATCAGTAGTATGCAGTATAATTTTCTTTTCAAGTTACTGTCATTAGGACTCAGGAACCTATTCAGAGTGAAGGAAACTTCAAACAGAGCTGCTCCAGGCCCTCTGACGCCTGCCTGAGGCATGCTCTGAAACACTGAAGTCATACACCAGAAGGAAGTCAGTACCATGAAGTCTAGAACTTTCGCAGCACAATCCAGACACAAGTGGAAGACACAGAAGGGGACACTTTTTTTTAAAGCAACATCCGTATGTATTTCCCAATAGTACATTCTCCACCTTGCTCAGTAAGATGTTAACTGATCAGAAAAACGATCACCTACTATCGCAAAATAAGTTGTAAAGTTGACCTAAAACGAAGAGCAGAACAGTGAAGGATTAAGTGCACAGTACCTGTGGTCAGACCCATCACACAGATGTGGGTGAGACCGGTCTCGGATGATGACCGAAGCCTGTAGTTTGAACTTGCTACTGGTTTAATGTGCTAACCATGGGGGACAGCTACCCAAAACTGATGCCATCCAAGTGTCCATGGGAGGGAACTATGCTGCTTAGAGCACACTAGTACGACCTTTGTCCAGGGCAAGGGCTGGGATGAGGCAAGGGAGGCAACAGGGCCATAAAATTCAAGGAAGAGTGGCCCGCTCATTCTGGGCAGTCCTTTTAGGGCAACATGGCTGAACCTGGGCATAGACACCATGGTGGGAGGGAATAACTAAAGACAAAGGCATTTGGTCTGCGAGAGTACTGAGGAGTGGAGGATGCCAGAGATGTTGACTGACAATGCCTGAAGGTCTCTGGAGACGAGGCAAGAGTGGCCCCTGCCTGGACGGCTCCAGGCAGGCCCACAAGCAACAGGCAATACTACCAGGAGGTATCTGGGCTCAACATAAAGTAGAACTACAGACAGAGCCACCAAGGCAGCCTGGACTTGCCCAGGAGGGGCTGAACTGCCAGGCACCGGGCACGGCAGAGAAGAGGCTGGAAGACTCAGTGCTGAATGAGCAGTGGGAGTAGATGAGCTTTAATGATCCTTTTAAGTCTATGATTCGAGAACATTTGCTTCCTGCCCTAGAATACATTAATTTCAGGAATAAAAACCCAATGAAGGCCAGATATGGTGGCTCACACTTGTAGTACCATGTACTCAAGAGGCTGAGCTGGGAGGACTGCTTGAGGCCAGGAGACCGGAGACTACACTGCACTCCAGGCTGGGTGATGGAGTGAGACTTCACCTCCTAAAAAGTTTAAGTGAAGAATACCAGAGCTGAGACAGCCGTGCCCGCCGCCTCTCCTGCGGTGGCGAGTCCCCAGCTTTGAGGCGGTTTCCAGGCAGCCGTGCAGCTTCCACGCTGGATGTGCCAGCGCCGTGGTTTACAGCCCTGAAGAGTCTTTTTCCTTCCTATTTTGTCCCCATTGCAGTAATAAATCCCATTATGGAGACACTGCAGCTTTATAAAGGGATATAGTTTGAATTCTGTGGAGTGTAATTTTGTGTCGCAATGATGATGTCAAATGCTTTTGTTGTGATGGTGGCTTGAGGTATTGGGAATTTGGAGATGATCCATGGGTAGAACATGCCAAGTGGTTACAAGGTGTGAGTTCTTCATACGCATGAAAGGGCAAGGGTTTGTTGATGAGATTCAAGGTCGATATCCTCATCTTCTTGAACAGGTATTGTCAACTTCAGATACTCCTGGAGATGAAAATGCTGATCCACCAATTGTTCATTTTGGATCTGGGGAAATTGCTTCAGAAGATGCAGTCATGATGAATACACCTGTGGTGAATCTGCCTTGGAAGTGGGCTTTAGTAGAAGCTGGTAAGACAGACAGTTCAGAGCAAAATCCTAACTACTGGAGAGTACTACAAAACAGTCAATGATATTGTATCAGCTCTTGTGAATGTTGAAGATGAAAAAAGAGAAGAGGAAAAGGAAAGACAAGCTGAAGAAATGGCATCAGGTATTTATTGAGCATGAACACCAGTGCTAAATATTCTACTAATCATTGTGATTGTTCTCAAGGAGCCTGTCGATTAGCTTGGGAGATGACTTGTCATTAATTCAGAAGAATAGAATGGCTCTCTTTCAGTGGTTGACGTGTGGGCTTCCTATCCTGGATAATCTTTTAAAGGCCAATGTAATTAATAAACAGGAACATGATATTATTAAACAAAAAACACAGATACCTCTACAAGCAAGAGAACTGATACCATTTTAGTGAAAGGACTTGCTGCAGCCAACATCTTCAAAAACTGTCTAAAAGAAATCAATTCTACGTTTTGTAAGGACTTAATCATGGATAATATGAAGTATATTTCAACAGAAGAGGTTTCAGGTCCGTCACTGGAAGAACAACTGCGGAGGTTACAAGAAGAAAGAACTTGTAAAGTGTTTATGGACACAGAGGTTTCCATTGTATTTATTCCTTGTGGTTATCTGGTAGTGTGCTAGGAACGTGCCCCTTCTCTAAGAAAATGCCCCATTGGCAGGGGTATAATTAAGGGTACTATTCGTACATTTCTCTTATTAAAGAAAAGTTGGCTGTATCTTAAGTTATAAAGTCTTTAAAATACTGTTGAACATACAATGCTATTTGAATGAACCATTGGTTCTTCAATTAGTAACATTTGTGTTGTAATCTGCTTTGGTATTAATAATCTTATTTCTAAACAGGTAGTTTATATCATATTTAATCTTAACCTGTGTATTTACAAGAGAGGATTTGTTTGATGAGCTATGTAAGTACATATATATTGTTATCTGTCACTTTAGGTGTTGGTGGATTTGGTATTCTTTCTGAAAGCTTTGAGTACCACTGCCACAATATAGTATAGAATAAAAGAACTGGAAATGTAAAAAAAAAAAATTTAAGTGAAAACTTACACATTACCTTCATTCAAAAGGAAGGAGGATAGATTCACTCATAACTTGTATGACATGAACACAATGATTCGGGTGACTCGTCAGGGGGAATAAGAAGGCTGATACTTGATTGAAGAGAGCTTAGGCTGTTCTGTGGGTTTTCATTTCCTGGACTAGGCGCCCCCTAACCTCAAAGAACTGAGAGACTCAGGCTCAACCTCCAGGAGGCAGAAGCATCTGATGACTGAGCTGGCATACTGATGGTGAAATTAAGAAATAAGCCATGTCTCAAAGCTGAGATCCTGTGTGCCGGAGCCTTGGAAATATATTTGGCTGGGTCCTGGCTGCACTGCCACACGTGTAAAGACCTGCCTTCCTCAACATCCAGCGTCTTCCAGCGTTCTGCCCTTCACTGTTCTGGTCAGGTGGTGGAGCCACGTGAAGCAGGGAGGTAATGTCTCTCTGAGTCATCTGTGCATGGCAGGGTGGCGAGTGATGAATAGAGAAGCAAGAGATGCTTTGCATGGTCACCAGAACGCTTTGTCCTCCTGCTCCCAGGATCCTGTCAGACGTCCTTATCTGAGCCTGATGGCAGTACTGGTCGTCGTGCAAAGTCAGAGCATGCAGCACTCACCCTCTACACTGCCTGGCCCAGGAGGCTGGCCTTGGTCTTGTTTAATCCCATGTAGCACTGTCACTGTCTCTGCAAGTAACCCTGTGCTCTCTGGAGGACAACAATTTTTTCAAGCAAAAGCTCATTACCCCTTCAAGCCAATAGGCAGGCTGGCCTATCTGTTGCTTCTTCCCTCCCGGGAGACGACAGCAGCATGGCCGTGTTCTGAACTGCCTCAGTGTCTTCACAGCCTCTCTCGGCCCAGAGAGGAACTTGCAGGCACCTATGAATTGAGTCAACCTTCTGACATTAATTTAAGCACGAAGGAGTTAAAGAAGCACTTTTACTGACCATCTCTGACAATCAAGTTACAGTGCCAATAAATTATGAGACACAGCAATCTACATTACCTTTAACAACTGAAATATTTTACCAGACAGTGTGATATCTCTATAATTGGGATTCTTACCAGTTACAACCAAAGATTGATTTTATTTTTTATAATTTTTACAGACCAAATACATTATATTATAAACTTTCAAAAATTAACAGATTAATTAATCATAATTCTTTAAAATGTACATACTGTCAAAAATTTCACATTCTTGGACATCAATAATTACAATCCCCCCAAAGAAAACAGCACGCAAAATATTTCCTGTCATAAAATCATTGTTACCAATTAAGCCATCCACAGCTTCTAAACTTTTCGATACAGAACAAGATGACTGATTTTGAAAATGGAGGGAAGCAAAAAACAGGGACAGCTGAGACAAGTCCCTCTGAGATAGACACTTTGTGACCGTAAAACCCCAGAGGGCCCAAACTTTGTCAGAGCTGCAAAGCGTGTCTGGGAGGCAGGATTGTTCCACCCAACAAAAGAAGTCTGAAACAAGGAGGAATGCCTACAGACTTCCAAAGGTTGGGAAGAGTTCCAAAAGGACATCTGAGAAGAGATTATGGTTGTTAACTATATCCTTATCCCCCTCCCGAAAGCTCTTGGTGGCTGTTAGACATTTATAGATAAATATTCTTGGGCTTTAGATAAGCTGTAAACAAAGACACATTATGTAGGCTATAAAAACAAAGCCCGTTTCGAGGTGACAGAATTCAGAATCTGATGAGGGAAGTCAAACTGTTAATTCCTAAGGGAGATAACATGAGCAAGAAGATGGCAACAGAAGAAGGCAAGGTTACACACTGGCTTTGGTAATGAATGAACTGTGAACAACAGAAGGCACGTGGCTATTTTCAAAAGCCAAATTTCAGTAGTTCTTCTGGCCTGACCTGGTGTCCACAGACAAGTGTTCCAGCAGGTCCATGGGCTTCATTTGAGTTCATGTATGGAGTGAAAAAAGAAACAGAGAACAGTCATGTGGACAGGGGCTGAGTAGGTGATGAAAATGAGGTGGGGTAGAAGGTGAGGGAATGCAGGGACTCTGGTGACTGGATTGGCCCTGCCTGTACTTTCCACTGCGTGGACCAAACAAAATTTACCTGTGCAAAAAAAGCATGCTCCTCCAGGACCATCCAGCTTGCATCCCCAATTCAGATAGGAAGCTCCCTCTCTATGAAAACACATGACTGGATGGAAAGGGAATTGTCACCATCTCTGCTATCCACCACGATCAGGATAAAGTGATCATATTTTATAGGACTCACTTTATCTCCCTTCTGAGAGAAATAATATGGTAAATCTAGAGTATATCTCTACATTTAAGAAGTGTAGAAGTTTTCAAAGTTGATTTTTTTACTTTGAAGGAACAGAAACAGGATTCAAAAATGACGGTTCTATACAACTTCCAGAGTCATCAGATCTGGACAGGAGTCTTAACATTTAAATAAAGCAAGGAGACAGAAGGGGAGACATACAAAGAACTCCATCTTGAGGTCTTGTGAGATGACTGGGACATTTGGCATCTGTGAGTGGCTCTGTACCCAAGTGGAACTGAGTTAAGTTTCTCGTTGTGAATGAACATTAAAAAACTACAAAGTCCCCATAAAGTTTTAAGAGCTAAAAAAACACACACATAATCACAGAATATCTAATGCCTCTAGACTTACATCTTGGTCAACACTCGCTGGCCAAACTGAGCTCTGCAGTGAAACTGAGCAAAGTTACTTGTGCAACAGCAAAATTAAATGTAAACATAAACAGCAAGGGGGATTTTCAAGAGCCTCGGTATTACTATCGTATGTTGTCCAAATAATGCACTTCTGGATAGAGACAGTTAACGAGAAGAGCCAGGAAGCTTTTGCCATCTTGGAGGCAATGGCCAGGATGCTTTATAAATTGGGCAGCTTGTGATATCTGATCCTGGTATTCAACATACTGCTTACTCGATGTCATGGATTCAAGAGCACTCAGAGCCTACAAGACATGGAAGACGAGAGGATTAACTTCACATATGCACGTAACTTGACTGCCACAGGCTGAGTACAACCTACCATTGTTACCTGGTTTAACCATGAGGCTTAAGGGGAAGGAAGTCTACAGAACTGAGGTTAGGATTCAGAAAGGCAGACATGGATTGACCACAACCAGAAGGAAGCCAGCCACCCAAGCCCCTCAGCCTTCCTGTTCCATGCTATTTCCCAATGCTTCCTTACACAGAGCCACTGATGTAGCAGGCTGGTCTCACTGCTGGACACCTCTGCTGCCACACCTACTTCTGAACCCTGCCTTGTCGCTATTCTCAAGAGTCCCACCTGTGGGGTCCTCCCCATCAGATCACCTCCCTCCCTCTCTTCCTGGAGCCCCACTGGAAATCACAGGCACTGGCCACATCCCTCTATGATGAGACCTATTTAATATGCTGTTGAATTGATCCTCAGTTTACAAAGTAATGTCATATTAAACTAACTGAATGAAATTCTAAAGAAACCAGTTGCTAAGCACCACTGAAGGTAAATCCGTCCTTAAATTCACCAAGACATAAAATACAGATTAAGTTCCTCCCAATTCTGTCTGAGAAAACAGCACAGAATCAATGGGAGAAAAAGCTCCCATGCCTCTCTCTTCAGAGGAAGAAAAAAACACATTCTTGACTCCATAATTTTAATTTTCATTCCTTAATAGGAGAAAGAAGGGAAAGAGACTGTATATGGAGAAAACAAAAAGAACAGTGGTTCTTGGGGGTAGTGTTCTGGTTTCCAATTGCATAAGCTCCCACACCCCCAGGGTCTTGACTACATGCCCTTCCTCAAGGGGGAACCCCCACCCCCATGAAGCTACCTCTCCCTTCCCGTCCCAGTTAGCAGAGCCACCATGCTAGAGAATATATATTAAAGGATGAAGTTTGGGGCGGCACCTGTGGCTCAAGGAGTAGGGTGCCAGCACCATACACCGAGTGTGACGGGTTCAAGCCCGGGGCCCAGCCAAAAACTGCAAAAAAAAAAAAAAAAAAAGATGAAGTTTGCTTGGTTCAGAAAATGAAAAGGGAGACTTTTCTTTCTTTTTGCTTCTTTAAAGAAGAATTTTTTTTTTGAGGATTGGTAGCTTAGAAATAAATTATCAAGTGGGCTGTAGCTGAAGTCCTAGGGTTGGAAATAAACAACTAAAGAGATTTTGCTATAAAACTAAGAGCTGTGTGAACAGGGTTTAATCTAAGAACAGGAATGAGAGGAGACAGGCATCCCCATGAACCAGTCTCCTTCTATCTTCCTTCTAGTTCTCTCCTCTCCCTTTTTAAATGTAGCCACCCAAATGGTCTACTTTGATGTTTGCCTAAGATTAATCATTTTATGAAAAGATGACTTTTTTCAAGTCTAAAAATCCTATGGAGACATCAGTTTAAGTCTGAAGGAATACAGACAAAGAGAGGCAAGGCCTGGGTGACCCACGCCCCAGATAAAGCAAAGTACTGACGCTCGAAGTACCAGTGGCCATAAAAGAGTTAAGAGCTTTCCAATATATCCTGCAATGCATCTCACGGACTTTACAGCTAGCTACCCTTGAAGACTCATCTGCCCACTTGTGCTATTTCACATAAGACAACAGGGGATTCAAACAGCAGTTGGTGAACAATGGGTGACAAGTTATCATGTATTTTATAAGCCAAGATCCCTGGAAAGAACCTGCCAGTTCTACCATCTGATCCTTTCCCTTAATAATCACGATCTCACACTGAATGTGGCTGGCTTAGACTGATAAAGCTGCACCATCGGAGGAGCTAAGGGGTCTAAGCACCTACTGATTACAGACATAGTTGGGCAGAGTGATGAGTAGAAGAGTCTGGAGCCTGACTGGCTGGCGTGTACCAGCCCCAACACGTACTAGCTTTCTTACTGGGACAAATTACTTAGCCTCTCTCTGTCTGTTTCCTCATCCTTAAAAGCAGGATAATAACAGTTCCTGTGCTATACGGTTGTTATGAGGATTAAATGAGTAAAACTTGAGCTCATTAATATTAAGTGAGTTAAAACTAAGAACAGTGCCTGCCACATAGGAAGCACTCAAGAATGCTGGCCCTCATCTTGTACTGCACACCTGTACTGTACTGGCCAGCTTGTTTATAGGGTATAGGAATGGGACCACCGCCACGTGATCTTCCATGTTTTTAGAACAAATTGGAATTTCTCACAGCTACTGTTCTGTCCATTTTAGATTATTTCAGCATCAGCCAATAGCAGTGATCAAGCTTTAGACTCACAAAACAGGATCCAGTTTCTCAGTTCCCATTTAAAGCTTGGTTAACTTTCCACCATCTCAAATGTGGCCATGCCTCCTGTACCAGCCCCAGGCCCAGCCCAGCATGTGGCAGGTCAGAGCATATTCACAGCCTTAGACAGGCTTGCCCAGGGTCTTACTTATTCCACAAGGACAGTAACAGTGCTCTCAGCCAAGTGCTTTCAAAGATTGGTCTATAATATGAGGAGGGCACATACAACCATTTTCCATTAAGCAGGGTGCGCTCATGGGAACACGCATCACTGCAGAGCATCATGTCATGGTGTGTCCAGGCTAGAGCTACCACTTCCCCACCTTTTGAAGAAGATGTGCTACAGAACCACTAACTTCCACTTTAAATACTGACCTGCTGAGCTTTGGGGGTAAGATGTAATTCAGAGCCAGGCTTCAAACGGATCTGGTCTTCTGCAGGAACCTGAACTGAAAGGAAGGCGGCCATGCCTCGGGCAACCACACGGAACCTTAGGTATCAGGGAGAGGTCAGAGGACATACGTAACATGTTCAAGTGTTTTAAAATAAACACCATATTTTCTATTAGAAAACAAGATAAACAGATTTCCAAATCTTCTGTGTGGTTAGCCTCTTCAAAATAATCTTAAATATGATCAAGAAGTAGCTTTATTCTTCCCTTCTATTACTGCCCCTCAAACAATGTATATACAATTCAGATTGGAGAATGGAAGTGCCGGCAAAGTGAAATAAACAGAATCCTCATACATCACTGGTGGGAATGTAAATGTTTTGGAAAACAGTTTGGCAGTTGCTTAGTAAGTGAAATACAGAGCTACCATGTGACCTAGCAATTCCACTCCTGGGTATATACCCCCCAAAGTAAAAACAGACGGTCTCACAAAAACTGTACACAGATATTCAAAAATCCAAATAAGCTGATGAATAGATAAAATGTGGTATAAAATGGAAGATTATTCAGCCATAAAAAGGAATAAAGTTGTTTTTTGAGACAGAGTCTTACTTTGTCACCCTTGGTAGAGTGCCATGGCATCACAGCACAGCTCACAGCAACTTCAGACTCTTGGGCTTAAGTGATTCTCTTGCCTCAGCCTCCCAAGTAGGTGGGACTACAGGAGCCTACACAGTGTCCAGCTATTTGAGAGATGGGGTCTTGTTTTGGCTCAGGCTGACCTATGAGCTCAGGCAATCCACCTGCCTTGGCCTCCCAGAGTGCTGGGATTACAGGCGTGAGCCATTGTGCCTGGCAGAGAAGAAGTTCTTTACACATGCTACAACATGGTGAACTTTATGTTAAATGAATTAAATCAGACACCAGAGGCTACAATGATGATTCCATTTATATGAAATGTCCAAAGTGGTATTAAATACATAAACTTACAATGTCACTCAGTGGCCGCCAGAGACTAGGGGTTTAAGGCAATGGAGGTGACTGCTGAATGGGTATAGGGTTTCCTTTTGAGGTGACAAAAATGTTCTGAAATTAGAGTATGGTGATGGCTGCAATAATACTATGATGTACTAAATGTTATTAAATTGTATTTATTAAAGTGGTGGCATTGGAAAGTTTTAAGTGACGTCATGTATTTTACCCAATTAAAAAAAAAAATAAGCACTTGATTCAAGCAAAAGATACACAAGGCAAATTTAAGTGAAACAAAATCACACAGGCCTCCTAAATTCCATCAAAAACACGGAAATATAACTGGTTTGGAGTGGTTCACAAAGTTACAACAACATGATGGGTTATTCCTCAAGAATGCTGACATCAGTGTGGTATTCAAACTCTCTTCAACATGACAAAGGCTTGAGATGAAAACCATGATATAAAGAAGTATTGTAAGATAAAATTCTTTCATGCCTTAGAATTTTTAGCAACAAAAACCTAGATTTGTTCCTTACTACTTATCCTTTTTACCTCAACCCATCTTGAGGACTTAACGAGTCACCAGGCCGGGCGTGGTGGCTCACACCTATAATCCTAGCACTTGGGGAAGCCAAGGCACATAGATCATCTGAGTTCAGGAGTTCAAGAACAGCATGAGCAATAGTGAGACCCCATCTCTACTAAAAATAGAAAAACTAGTTGGGCATTGTGGTGGGCTCCCCCCAAATCCCAGCTACAGGAGGCTGAGGCAAGAGGATTGCTTGAGGCCAAGAGTTCCAGGTTGCTGTGAGCTATGATGCCACAGCACTCTACCCTGGGTAACAAAGGGAGACTCTTATCTTAAAAAATGAAAAAAAAAAAAAAAAGTTCATCAGACTAAGTCCCTCACAAGTTCCAGGTTTCCCTAAACTCATCAATTGCTTGCTATAAAGCAGCTGACTGGGGTATTTGAACCTAACTTCACGTATCATCTCTGGCTCAAAACCAAAAAGAAATCAGTTGTGCAGTCAGGTTGTGGAGTCAAAACACAAGAGATACTACTAAAAAAATACTGTTGGAATGTGTAGGTTTTCTTTAAAGGTAAGAAAAAACAAACACGTTTTTTAGAATGAAAAGATATAATCAGGTTCTGACTTTTTTTCCCATTAATCTTTCTGGAAAACATAGATCCTAAGTCAAGAAACCTAGTGAAGTATCACAATCTGTATGCAGGTACAGTCATCGGAGGCCCATTTAGACCAGCGGTGGGAACTGCTATCTTACCTGTTAGACAAGGGCGACTTCCGGCCCAGCCCAATTGCCCCCAGGATCCCGGAGCTGAGCCTCTCCTCTGCCACAAGGTTCTGCCTGCTCTGAAGCATGAGCAGAATTCGGATGACAGATTCCGTCAGGAACGAGTCATTCTGCTCTGTCTGGATCAGGGACAGCTGCAAGACTTGGTGCCACCACAGAAATAACTTTGCTTCTTCCTGCACAGAGCTGGGGAAGAAGCAAAATTATTTTCCATGGTGGCACCAAGGAAAATGAAATTAGAAGTGGACTTTTTTCCTACTCTCATTTAAATGAAAGTGTGCATTTGAGTTTTAGGTATAATAGACATTTAGTATTTTTTTTTCTTTTTTTTGCAGTTTTTGGCCAGGGCCAAATTTGAACCCGCCACCTCCGGTATATGGGGCCGATGCCCTACTCCTTTGAGCCACAGGTGCCGCCTAGACATTTAGTCCTTTAAAAGCATAGGCTAATGCGTGATAATATAAATGAAGTAATGGAACTGTAACAACTATCTTTTATTTAGCACTTAAGATATGCCAGACAGTGTGCATGGGCTTTCTTTTCTTTCACTTAATCCTTATAACAACCCTTAAAGTTAGATATTATTACCTCTACTTAGCTGGTAAGGAAGCTGAAGTTCAGTGCTGAAAATGCCACTTTTAGGAAATAAAAAACTGGCTCAGAAAATTAGCCCGCTGAAGTAAAAAACTTTCCAAAACAAGTGTCACTGTACCTCATAGCCTTGTTTATTGTGCATCACTTATTTCTGTGTACTTAAATACACATGTGAACTCTAAATTCCAAGTTAACCAAATACAAGCTGGATTTAACAGCCAGGGGGCCGACATACCTTGGATACACCTGTTCCAACCACTTGCTTAAGATGAGCAGCACTTTCATTTCATTCCTCAGAGTTTGCTCACTGTTTAAACACTGCAGCAGGTAGACATAAAGAGTCAGGTAACTGCCGAGAGCTAGGCACTCCTGCAGAAATTCTTCTATGGTGAGCTCAGGAACTTGAAGGGACACCAGAATGGGGCCCCATCCTAAATTTTGATTGAGGGAGCCTGAGAACAGACCACCAAGAAGAGACATCAAGATATAAGCAAGAATCGGATTGCTTAACAAGTCTAATGAATCTTTTTACTTTAAGCTTTATGCCAAAACAACATTTCTCACATTGGCCCCAGAGGCCACACAAGTGAAATGCCCCTCAGTACTTTGACAGGAAAGTCCTTGTGCTAGACTATCTCAAGCTAGCCACAAGAGGAGTTTAGGAAATCAGAGTTCAGGGTGAATGTTTATAGATCACTTTTCTTATCATATTATTAAAATATCATGTAGATACTGCCTGTTCCAGTCATTTGAGAATTTTAATTGTAATACCATTTTTAAGTATGTATAAACACTTAGGCTTTTCTATGGGAAAATGCTATCAATCTATCATAAGTATTTTTATTTACCAAAGCTTAGTTTGACCCGTATCTTAACAGAAACCATTTAAGATTAAGTAAAACAAATGCATTTGGAATGAGAGTGGTACCCTAATGGTTCTCCACCCTTCAAGGGAGTGAGAACGTGGTGGCCTGGTGACGTGCACAGCACCTCCCCCAGCGGCGGACATGGATAGTTCATGAGTTGTAAGGACAGAACAGATGGCAGGTTATGGGCACTTCCCAGATCCTGGCTCCAATATCCTTTCTCTCCCACTGTGCATTCTAATGTGTATCAGGACATCAGGGGAAATGAACCTAGTCAATCATTATTATATAAATCCTGGTTGACAATATTTTCTTTGAGAACTATGACGTGGCCTATGATATGATATGATTTGTGTATTACAAGTTGGTCTGATACACCCAAACCAGTGTAAAATGAGTTAGAGCTTTTCTCCCTTGAACTGCGATTTTACCAACAGACATAGATCATAGGTTCTCATGCTAACTGTGACCTTAATGAAAAAGATATGTATGTGTGTGCGTATGTGTATACATTTATTTATTCTAAAACATACAAAACATTTACAGAATAGAAATCATAATAGTACAATCCCTCATTGGTCAGAGTCTGGAAAGATCTCCTGATGAAAAAGCTTTAATCTTGCCTGGAAAAGATGAATATAATAGGAGCGTAAGGTAACATCAGTGTCCTCTTACTTTCTTTGAAGTAGGCAGTGATGCAGGCTTCTGCAGTCTCGGCCATGTGGCGGACAGAAGCCAGGCTCTGGCAGGCTGCGGTTAAAAGGGGCAGTACCACTAGCCCATGTACTTTTTGGTCAATCCAGGTCCGGATGCTGCCTCGGAGGAACTCTGCCGTGGGCACAGTTGCATTGTTCAGCATCATGAGGACTTCCGTAAAGAGGCTGCTGAGGGCCATGTGGCGGGCTTGGCTGTCCATGTCTGAAGGGAACATAGACGTACACTTGAGAATGGCTGCTAGAACAGTAACTAGGAAAGTGATCAAGACAACAACAGTAGTTCAACAGTAGCAGCAAACAACAGCTGCTCCCCAGGCAGACTGCAGGCTGATTACAAGGGACCGGAAGGAGGACTCTGGATGGTATCTGGCTTTTACAGACAGAACGTGGCTGGCACAGAAGTACTTTGTAAGAGCAAAAGCAGGAATTGCTACACCTTAATACAAAGATCTCAAATTGGTGTGAAAGTAACTCATTTATCACGTCATGCCTAATTAGTCTTTGTTTCCTGAGCTTTGCTCCTGGAAAACCAAATTCAGGGATCTTAACAGTCATTTGGTAAACCAAGTAGCAACAGTATCCCCACTCCATCATTGCCATTGCTGTCAACATCCCAGAATAAAGATTATTACTTAAAACTAAACATAAACAAAAGGAAAGACCATTTCAAAGGTTCCTAACAGCAGCTCTTTTATTTCTTTGTTTTTTAAATAAGAAAAATGAACAGACTAGTCTTTCAAAAAAAAAAAAAATAGAGGTAAGAAGAGAATAAAATGCAAGAAAAAGCAAACTCATTTTATAAGAGAAATGCAAACAAGCAGAAGGTCACCGAGGTACATTCCTTCCTTACATTCCAAAGCAGAAAGGATGTTTCTAATGGGCCTAACTTTTGCCAACTATTCTAGCTCCCTGTACGTTTTTTTTTTGTTTTTGCTTTTTAATGGAACAGAACTGTGGTTTTCATGCCATAAGGGTTCAGTATTATATCAACAGGAATGATAAAACGTTCAAAGAGATCATACTCATCACACCCATCAAAACAAATTTATCTACTTACAGAGGGTTAAATAAACCCTCATTTAACATGACCATACCAGAACTACTTATCAGGCAAAGATTAAAAAAAAAAAAAACTGAGAGAGATAATAACAGTCTGCATGTATGAATACTTATTTTTGTACTTATTTCTATAAGTATATTCTTGGTAATAAAGGCCTTTTCTTTGAATTCCAACTGAATAGCAAATGTATCTTTCAATTATGGCTCACAGGAACAGTACAGTGACCCTCCTGACAGAACAGTTTCTACCCCTCCTGTTCATCATCAACACGGACAACAAATGTTTTCCTAAAAACCAGATCTGATCCTATCACCCCCACTGCTTAAGATCTCTCTAGGCTCCTCTCCCCCTTTCCCTGGTCAGCTATCATTCCACCTGCCTGGTACAATCACACGTGGATGGCTTCTCCAGCACTGCTTGCTGACTTTTCTTTTTTTCTTGAACTTGCTGACTTCCTAGGCTGCTGCTAAAATTTTAGATGTTATTATCTCATTTGATACTTACCATATCTACATAAAATAGGTGTGATTACTAACAAGGTTGGGCACATTCTCTTGGTTATTGGTCTTTTGGATATTTTCATTGGTCATTTGGATATTTTCTTTTATAGGATGTTGTTTCAAGGCTCTTGCCTGTTTTTTTCCTATCAAGTTGTCTTTTTTTTGCTTGTTTCATCCAATGTGACTACCTGAATCCTTCACATTTCACATAATTACTGACGTAGCTGGGTCTAAATCTACTACTATCTTCACATATACAGCCTATGTGGCATGACTTTT